CTACCGGCCTCCGGACGGCGCGGTGTCTGTACACCGGCGAAGGCGGGGCGCGCAGCAGCAGCAGCAGCAGCAGCAGCAGCAGCAGCAGCAGCAGCAAGTAATTCGATTTGAACTGCCCTTTAAAGTATTTTGTTTGTCTTGTGCTGCAGTGCTGGACCGGGGGGTCCGCTTCAACGCAAAGAAGCAGCAAATTGGCTTTTATCTTTCTTCTCCAGTTTATTCTTTTTCTTTTTGCTGCCCCTGCTGCAGCAGCAGCTGCAGCATCAGCACAGACCCGAAGAGCAGCAGCTACATCTGCAGCAGCGGTTTGCGGCAGAAGCAGGAGGACTTGCCGGATGCTGCAGCAGGCAATCCGCTGCTGCTGCTGCAGCAGCAGCAGCAGACGCTGCAGGCCAACCCGCTGCAGCAGAAGGAGCACCAGTTCCTCCTCCGCAGGCAGCGGGGGCTGCTGCTGCAGCAGCAGCAGCAGCAGCAGCTTGCTGCTGAGGAGACGCCGCAGCAGCAGCAGCAGCGCGAAGAAATCTGCAGCGCCAGGGAAGCCACTGCGCTGCTGCTGCAGCAGCAGCAGCAGCAGGCAGACGACTACGCAGCAAACCGCCGCATGCGGCAGCAGCTGCGCGAACGCAAAACAGCAGCAGCAGCAGCAGCAGCAGCAGCAGCAGCAGCAGCAGCAGAGTCTGGAGAAGACGCTGAAGAACTCAGGGGAATTAAATTTAAAAAAAGAAAAAGCAGAATTGATAAGTTGACGCAGCAGCTAGCGAAGCGCCACGCCTCCATATTCCCCTGCAGCAGCCGCAGCAGCCGCAGCAGCTGCAGCAGCAGCAGCAGCAGCAGCAGCAGCAGCAGAGCCTTCTCCCTAGTTTGCAAGTCCGAAGCAGTCGCAGCGCGCCTCGCGCAGGCCCTGCATGCAGCCCCAAAGGGCAGCAGCAGCAGCAGCAGGAACAAAAACAAGAACAGCAGCAGCAGCAGCAGCAGCAGCAGCAGCAGCAGCAGCAAGAGCAGCTTTAGACGGCTCTGCAGCAGCAACGCGGCAGTCTTATGACTAGCTGCGAGCTTTTGGGTGTATAGACAGCGCAGCAGCAACGGGGTGTATGTACACCCCAACAGAAAGACCCCAGCAGCAGCAGCAACGCATGCACTTTTTTTGTGAAGAACGCGGTGTGCACATAGCCTAGGGTTTAGGGTTTAGGGTTTAGGGTTTAGGGTTTAGGGTTTGAGGTGCAGCAGCCAAGACCTTTCCCTGTAGAGTCAGCAGCAAAACTAGAGGCCCCACTTGCTGCTGCTATCCCCAAACCCTTGGGGGCCCCCAGGGGCCCCTTGGGGGCCCCCAGGGGCCCCTTGGGGGCCCCCGGAGATTCTTTGGGGGCCCCCAGAGGCCCTTTGGGGCCCCCGAGGGTCTTTCGAGAGGCCCAGAGGCCCCCTAGGGTTTACAAAGCCTCCTTGGGGGCCCCCAGGGGCCCCTTGGGGGTCTTTAGGGGCCCCTTAGGGGCCCCCAGAGGCCTCCTGGGGGCCCCCCTTGGGCCTGTTGGGGGCTTTGTCGCTCCCGTACCCTTTTGGGGGGCCCCCAACGACCTCTTGGGGGGCCTCCTAGGGCCCCCCAGGGGCCCCTTAGGGGCCCCCAGAGGCAGCTTGGGGGCCCCCAGGGCCTCGTGGGGGCCCCCAGGGCCCCTTAGGGGCCCCAGGGCCTCTCAGGGGCCCCCAAGGAACTCTTAGGGGCCCCCAGGAGTCCTTAAGGGGCCCCAAGGTACCTTTTAAGGCTCCCTGAGGGGCTCTTTTGGGGGGCCCCCAGGGCCCCCCGCGGGGGCCCCCAGGGGGCCCCCCAGGGGCCCCCCGGAGCCTCTTAGGGGGCCCCCAAGGACTTCTTGAGGGCCTTTAAAGCTTTCTCAGAAAGCCCCAAGAAGTCCCTTGGGTGCCCCCAGGGGCCCCTTGGGGGGCCCCCCAGAAGACCCTTGGGGCCCCCTAGGGGCCCCCCAGGGGCCCCCGAGGGGCTGGCGGGGGCCCCGGGGGCCCCCTGCGTTGCTGCTGGGGTTTTTCTTTCATTTGAACAGTCATTAGGTCTTTAATTTGATTTTATTTTCAATTTTAATGAAATTAAAGAGTTTTAGAATTTAATTTCCTCTCAAACGACGCAACTTCGCCCCCTTGGCACTCGGGGGGCCCCCATGAACCCAGGGGGGCCCCCAGAGCCAAGGGGCCCCTCCAGCTTCCCCAATACTCAAACAAACCCCCATATAATGGGCAATGGCCCAGACCAGCCCCTGGGGGCCCCCAGGGGCCCCCAGGGGCCCCCTGGGGGCCCCCAGGGGCCCTCTGGGGGCCCCTCGGGGGCCCCTCTTGGGGGGCCCTCGGGGACCTCAGGGGGCCCCCTGGGGGCCCCCTGGGGCCCCCTGGGGGCCCCTGGGGGGGCCCCCCTGCTGCAGCTGAAGCAGCAGCAAGCGAAGGCGCTGGAGGGGCCCTTAAGGACTTTGCTGCAGCAAATGGAGGGGAGGGAAGCAGCGGG